TTTCTTTCTTTCTTTCTTTCTTTCTTTCTTTCTTTCTTTCTTTCTTTTGCCCCCATTCCTTTCCAGCCACCTTTATTTATTTGTTTATTTGATTTGTCAATCCCTTACAAGATAATAAGTGTAAGTATAAACATGAGTAAGAATACAGGAGATAGGTACGAATAAATGGGAACAACAGGACAGGGACGGGAGGCACGATGGTGCACTTATGCACGCCCCTTACAGACCTCTTAGGAATGGGGTGAGGTCAATAGTGGATAGTTTGAGGTTAAAGGAGTGGGGGTTAGAGGATGCAACAACAGAGTCAGGTAGTGCATTCCAGGCATTGACCACTCTATTGCTTCACTGTAAGTTACTTAAGTTTCTCATTAAAACGCAGCTCCCTTCTAACTAATAGCTCTCCTATACTAAAGCTCTCATCTGTCCATATTTAATACTTCTCAGCTCTGTATTTTTCTGGGAAATGCTAAAATGTGGCTAACGGCCTTGAGGAATAACTGTGACTTGTCATAGGAAGCTGTTTCCTATCTAGGGTTCTGCAGACTGAAAAGCTCCTTCTTTTATTGAAATTACTTTTGGGAGAGGGAGGGACAAAGAAAAGAATCTGGCATTCATCATCTGGATCTCATTAATAGCAAGTATGTTAGGAGTATAACATAAACATTGATTCGGCATTAATTATCATAGTATTACTGGGTATTTCTAGAAGTTTTAGATATAATGATTTGCTATTTTTCCTGACATGTAGACTGCAGTAGCAAAGAAATGTATTAAAGCAATTGGAGCATTTTGACACAGTAATTAAAGTGCTGGATTTTGATGGGGTAGATTCATGTCGAACTACAGACTTCATGTATGACCTATTCCAATTTGCAACTCAATCTATCCCACACAGGATTTGCTGTTATGCTGATTAAAAGGGACATCCTTATGTAAACTGTGTTGCATACTCAAATGAAAGGTGAGTTTTAAAATAAAACAGTCATGTCCATATTTGCCTGTAGTTACTCCTCCCTGTAGATTGGTAGAGCTTACCAAGAGATCCCACTGGCTTATGTAAGGTTTATTGTATGGTTCTCATGTCCTCTCAAAGAATAGACTTTCAGCCTTTGGATAGTATCAGGTTAATGTTATTGACAGGTGATTTGACAACACCAAAACAAATTTGAAATAATCAGCAGTAGTTCCTGGTAAAAATCATGTGATGGATCCATAATATGCTATCAAACATGTTCCCAACAAACTGTATTGAGTATGTTATCTGAAAACAGAGACAATAGCATGGTTGATGAAATCTGCATAAAATTTTACTATGGATACTGTGCAACATAAACATAATGAGATATTTTGTTGGACAACCTGGAGGGGACATTTGTTTAATATAAATCGTAAGGATACAAGCGACAAATTTACAGTCATACAAGTGAGAGGGGATGGGTGATAAGGAATGATAAGAAGATTAATAGTAAAAATACTATTAATAGTAAAAATTAAAATTAAAAATATCTTGGAACAATTAAACAGTGAATACTGGTTTTGTGTTACATTGTGTTACTAAGAAGACATTGCAAAACAAATGTCTTCTTAGTGAAAGAAAATCTTATATTAATTAATCTTCATCAAGGCTTATATGGGTAATGTAATCTGTACTAAATCTTTCTTCATTTAAATTATATGTAAACATAATACTTCTGTATTGTATATATGTCACTGGATTTATTGTACTAGTATCATATATAAATTAAAATCCTTTTCCTTTAAAAAGGTCAAATATACTTATTACATAGAATATATTAATGAAAGTAGTTATGTTAAAAACAGTGACATATTTAAATGAATCAGAAAATGCCAGGTTTCTATTTTTAAAATTCATAGGTCCATCCCATTTATTTTAAAATTTCATACAGAAAAACAGTTATGCATGTGAATTTTACTTATATATTAATCTTAAATTTGTATCACTGAGTCTTTGTCACTTGTATTTTAAAAGAATCTTTAATATTCACAGTATTTTCAAGGAAATTATGAAACATCTGAAAAAAATAGGGTATGGGGTATTTTATCTATCTGCCATGTCTCATCTCTATCTTTCAATAGCAAGTCAATAAAAGTGATTAGAGTTGCCATCTCAGAATGCACACCCTTAAACCATATAACCGTAATACCGAAAAAGGTCCCCAACTCACTCATCTTTTCAAATTACATCCAAACTGTCTGGGGAACTTCTCAGTGACTGGAGGTAAGACAGTTTAATCTTTTTCTCCTGCCTCAAATTTAGCTCACTGGAAATCTTTTCTTTTTCTTTTTTTTCTTTTCCTTATCATAGCCTTGGTGCCTTTCTCATACTGCAATCTATGCATTTAATTTTGGTGTGTCTATCTGTTTTTGTTGCTTTATGCAGCTCATAAGATTTTGCTGTCCTGAAAGCTGCAACTATGAAACTTCCACTGTTTATTCCACTTTAGCATGAGAAATTATGCTGGTATGCTTTTGTTTGGGGTGCCGGGAGGCTTGTTGAATCTGAATGCTTTTAGATTTCATCTTCACCTTATATCACAGCTTTCACCAGCCTGCATGATTTATGCTTCACTTGCTTTCTTTCATTTTATAAAATTCCTTTCATTCTGTTGTTCTGCCATTGCACTTTCCACAAAATTAAGAATGGGGAGAGGGGAAAAGAGGAGTTTAAAGTTTTGTATGTTAAATTTATTTTTCTTTAATTACTATTTTGGGAGTTCAAAATGTGATTGATACAGTGCTTCAGTGGGTAAATGAGTCACCAAAATGAGACACGCAAATGGATGTTACTCAAATTTCTTCCTTTTGTAAGAGAAATGAAATTGAATACAATTTATTACCAGTAAATAGAACTATAGAAATTCAGTGTAGACTTAAAGACAATACAGTTCTTTGTATTCTATGTAGTAAATATTTTTGTATCTTAATGTAGGACAAGAGATCAATGAAAAAAAAACCTTTAGAGACTCATCCATGTACATAACCAATGCTTGTTTCGATGCACTTATCCAATTCAAGCTTTCTTGAATCTTCTGAGTTAGATTGACACTAATTGTACATTTAATCTGTGACTTCCAGTTGTCCACAACCATAACTTAATCTGGACTCTTGGAATTCATGTTTATATATTTGGTGGGGGGGGGGGGTCATATATCTGCATATGTGCTTCATCTAATATGAAAGGAATGCAGAATCTTCATTTCTCAAACATTCAGAAGTACTGGTTTTTATGAGAAAAAGGTGCCTCCTAGAAAACTAGAAGCAGTTTCAATACAAGTATCAAACATACAGTATATATGGAATTATTCATACTACTTTATAATTTTTTTATATTTCTGTTTTACGAAACTGGAAATCAATCTATTTCTCATAGTTAATAGGTTACATCTTATTAGCACTGTTTTATTTTCAATCACATCAGTATAGTTCTGTGGAAAGATATAAGATATAAATTGTTTTGAAGAAATTATTTTGGGCTTTGCATGAGAAACTAAAATTCAAATCCATTGCCAAATATTCACTTTTTGAATTTTAAAACAGAACATAATGTTATGTTATATGGAATGCAGACAAAATGTGCACATTATATAGGTAAATGCATTTTATTTTGGACAAAATGCAGGAAAATAAATGTAAATATTTCTGTGATATTGCAGAATATTTTAAACAGATGCAGAAACAATATGGCAGATTTTAATAATAATACTTTATTTGCGGTCACAGACCAAAACACAAGTACAACAAAAGAAGAACATGGGAAAATTAGTCATGAACAATTGGTCACCACTTGACTAAGGGGAATTACAGCGTTCTCCTCTGATGGTTACAGCTCTTTAAAAAAAATTGGAAACCTGAGAAGTGATGTATGAGGAGCCATCCCCTAAACAATATAAGAACAAATTACTAACATTGGGTCTAGAAGGGTCTGTTTCAAGGAGAGACAGTAACTTAGATCTGCCTACGTTATACATAGGGCAATATAAAAGGACATGCTCCACACTTTCAACCTTAGCTCTATCAATATGGCGGATTTTGTGTTTGGCAAAGTAAATCAGACAAAAGCAAACAACAAACTCTTCCATCCCTATCTTTGAAATTGAAGCACCAATAATATATTGGCCATAAATATGGCTATAATCCTGTCAAGCATTTTAAAGATTTGAATTCAGTGTATCTCTTCATTCATAATGTTTGCCATTCCAACCTCATTGTGCTATTGCAGACCTAGCTATGAAATTATAACCCAAATCAAACATAGTTCTGTACATTATTGCCAGTATAACAGCTGTCCTCAAAGGATTGGAAATGAGGAAATCCGGGATTCTCTTAAAATGTAAATTTCATTCAGTGTTTCATTAAACTGTAAATCATGAAAAATGTGTAACGAAGAAATAGTATCAGTATAAGTGAATTTGTGACATTTGTAATTTTGGAGGAAAATGGATTATTGGAAGGCTGAAACTCTGCTACATATGGATTATGCAGAGATAGATCTACGAAAAATAAGTCTAGCCTCACTAATACCAAGGTTGTCTAGTTGCTGAGATCAGTATACAAGTGTGATATAGGATTTGTCCAACAGTTGTAGCCTATTAAAATAATAAGCCATCATTTCTGTATGCCATGATCTCTGCCACTTATTATGTTCATATGCAGTTACCACTGAACCCATTGACCAAGAGAACTTGATATTAACTATTCCAGCTAAAGAATTCAGAAAAAGAAGTTCTCCCAGACATGTGATCTGAAATTCTTGCTGGTAAGGGCATCTTGAGAAATGGTTGTTATTCAGAGCATAATGTCTGTGTGCTTGCAGGTTTTGTGCTGGGATAACAATATATTTGCAGTGTTTAATGCAAACAAGATCTTCATTCAGCTGTATAGTTTTTACATATAGTTAGTGCATGTGAAAGAAAACTGGATCCAAATTGAGGAAGACAGACATTATGTTCCCAATGATGGACTCATAGTGTAAATTCATTGCACAACTTTATGTTTACCATATTAAAAAGATAAGTATGGTAAGAAGACAGCATTTTATCCTCATTTTTGCTATAGGCAATGTTAATCACATTTTGAAATTAGGTACTGAGGGTGCAAATGTCACCATGTAAATTGAAGTTATTCTTCTCTTGCCCTGCAAAAAAAGCAAACTTTCCTTGTATAAATAACCTTTAAGGCTTACTACTGAATATTAACATTTTTCAAAAATAAACAGGAAGCATCTGATTAAATTATAATATAGTGATCTATAGATAATAGTATCTATTATAGTATGATAATAGTATCACAGTACTACTTTCTTTATAGAATTGTCACGTTTATACCTTCTCCCTTCTAGCAAGCCAATCTGTGACAATTTTCAAATGATAATAACACATCAGTATCATAAAAGTACTATGATTTTTGGCCTTCATGGCCATTATGGACCTTCCCCAAGTCATTGTGGGCCCAATGCATAATGGGAAGTTCAAGATTAGACCTGTTTTATTTCAAGACAATTGAGAAGTGGTCTTGTTTTGAAGAGCATTTGTATCATTCCTTTGCTGTGGACAGATCACTTTCCAATTGTTTTTTGTTTAGCACTACCCTAAGGGAACATCCCAGGCAAATGATGGACCTGCCTGCATTCCAGAAGAAACATGGAGTTATCCCAAAGGGTCCAATGGACATTTCAGCTGAGGCCTTAGATACAACCTAGAATAGGCAGGTAGAGATGACATTTAATTGGATCGCCCCATGTAGATTGATTCCTCTTCGCCTGCCAACAGCTTATGGCATTATTAAAAGTAACCCAAATCCTGTTGGGAAGGGACAGGTAGTAGGATCTTCTGTGTGGAATATTCTTACTATTTGTGAGATAAAGGTTACTCAGATTTGTCTACAATTGGATCCTGATTGGACAGGTCTAAATAAGAGGCCTGAAGATCTTGGAGATTATCTGGACTGAGTTTTAATTTATGACCCCTAAGGAAGTGGCTAGGTCTCTCCAGCCTGTTGGCTCAGGGGCCTGTTAGATCATCCTTCTCCTGGATGATGAAAGCCACCTGGGATATAAAATAGAATAGAATACTTTATTGGCCAAGTGTGATTGGACACACAAGGAATTTGTCTTTGTGCAAATACTCTCAGTATACATAAAAGAAAAGATACATTCATCAAGGGACAAGAATCATAAGGTACAACACTTAATGATAGTCATAGGGTACAATAAGCAATCAAATCATACTAGGAAACAGTCAGTAAAAATTGTAAGGATACCAGCAACAAAGTTACAGTCACAAGTGGGAGGGGATGGATGATAAGGAGTGATGAGAAGATTAACAGTAATAGTAGTGCAGACTTAGTAATAGTTGAACAGTGTTGAGGGAATTATTTGTTTAGCAGAGTGATGGCTTTCGGGAAAAAGTTGTCCTAGTGTCTAGTTGTTCTGGTGTGCAGTGCTCTATAGCGTCATTTTGAGGGAAAGAGTTGAAACAGTTTGTGTCTGGGATGTGAGGTGTCTGTAAATATTTTCACAGCCCTCTTTTTAACTCGTTCAGTATACAGGTCCTCGATTGAAGGCAGGTTGGTAGTAATTGCTTTTTCTGCAATCCTAATAATATGACCTATGATTGGGTTAGTGTGATGGTGTTGGTTTCCTTAAGTGAGAAGGTGATCTCTTTGGCTTTCAGAGAGGCTGTGATATTTCTTTTCCTCAAGGAACCATTCCTGGACCCAATGGTCCTGAACAATTATTGTCCAAATTCCAGATATCCCTATTAGGGAAGAATCTAAAGAAGATAATCAGGATTTAGTTCCAAAGATCCCCTGAAGAAGCAGATTATCTTAGTTAAAAGATTTATGTGGGTTTCAGGCCAGGGTTTAGTGTGGAGACAGCATTGGCCATGCTTGTTCATGATCTGTAATGAAACTCGAATTAGATGGTGCTGTAATGATGCATTCATCATGATACTCATTTTTTCAGTTGCTTTCAATACTGTTAGCCACAATAACCTTTAGACCAGTTTCAGAGGTTGAACATAGGAGGTCCCACTTTGCAGTGGTGGTCTTAATCTGCTGCCAGTTTTAATAGGGTTGACAGTAGGGAGAAATTGCAGCTGCAGCTCCTTGCTTGTGGGATGCTACAAGATTCTATACTCTTTCTCCTTAACATCTACATGAAAAGGGCTCTTTTTCAGTACTTCAAACCCAAACTTTGCATTCAGAGGTAACCATTCAGGCTTTCATCTATGTGACATAGTATCTTAAGAGATAGCCTGAGAAAAACCTCTTCCTTAAACCTAGTGATTTTCTGTGTATCATGAGATAGAACAGGGATGTCAAACTTGAGTCATCCCGTGATGTATTGGGACTTTTTTCCCCTTCGTTAAACCAGGTGGAACCAGCACGTGATGTATCCATCCCACAGGCCACGAGTTTTAACACCCCTCAGTTGGAATGATAATCATAGTTTTGTACCATCATATTTGGAGAGGGACTATTTATTCAATGGTAGAAAACATAGTTCATACAGACTCCATAATTCAGTCCTTTGCAAGTCTATTTAAAAGATTTCAGGACTATAGAGATATCTGTACAGGTTATCAGAGTTTATTTATAACAACAGTGTCATTTTAAGTGTCACGCTAATTAAAAAAAATGCCATACAGTCCACAGCAAGTCAAAAAAGAAGAAAGATTTTAAATATAAAAAGTGCAATACAACTTAGGTTTCCCCTGTCCAGTTATTTGTGACTCTAGGGGGCAGTGCTTATCTCCATTTCTTAGCCAATCTTCATTGTCTGAAGATACTTCTGTGGTCATATGGCTAGCATGACTATAAGTCAATGCGCATAGAACCCTGTTTCCTTCTCACCAAAATGGTACCTATTTATCTACTCGCATTTGCATGCTTTCAAACTGCTAGGTGAGCAGGAGCTGGTGTGAGGACAGGAGTTCACCCCCATCGCATGTGCTCAAGTCTTGAATCCTGGGCTCTCGGTTTTCCAGCTGATAAGCTTAATGTTTTTAACTTCTGAGCCATTGCTCTATAGTACAAAACAACTTAAATCATGCTTTATTGACTTATCAATATTAAACTCAGATTCACATTATAAACTTATAAACCAGAATTGTAAAAAGTGAATTCTATTTTTTTGCCACCTCAATAGAAAACAAGGTCATTCATTCACACAGTGGCATAAGGTTTTGTGTATGTACAATTTGCAAATATGTAAAGTAAAACATTTTGCCATCTCTCCAAGTATGATGTGATCAAGAAGCTCTGTATGGAATTAGTATTTATTATACACTCCACTACAACATCTTGCAGTCAGAAAAATAAGACACCATTCTACTGCAGCATCCTATTTGCACTATTCTTACAGTGAATACATACCTTCAGGTAAAAAGCTAGATATGCCACCTAATATTAGCACACAGAACTTAAAGAAGCATACTGCTTACAAATAATATTCTGAAAATTTTCTTTTAAAAATGAAAGCTTTTTCTAAGTAATATCTATAGTTACAGTATTACTATATCTTATTGCCTTTTGCTATGTATCTCTTTACATTGATGCACTGAAAAAGATGCAGGCAACAAACCCATTTTAACAAACAGCTTATTCTCATTAGAACAAGCAGAAAGACAAACAATAGTCTGAATTTGAGTTAAGAAAATATTTTAGGATGCTGCTATAGTAAGGAGACTGATTTTGTTCCAGTTCTTGTATTCATTTTGATCATTAAATAATATATGTTCCAAGTAAGAAATGCATTTATCATTTGAACTGTCCTTGTAATGTTTATAATCTGCATATACAGAGAGAAAGAAAGATTTAAAAAAACTCAAAAATTTCAAAGTATTCATTACTTGCAGTTTCTGATATCTTCTCAATTTCTACAGTCATTTACTATATAAAATACAAGGATAGCCAAATCCATTGATATGCTGCATTCAAAATATGTGTATATTTCTGTTTTTCCCACACACCAATACACAAGCAGAGAACAGAACATTAGGAAAGAGACAATCCCTTACCAACTACTTAGAAAACAATACAATTCAGACTAAGAAGAATTACTGTCTAGCGGATGCAATTTCTCTCTAGTTTAAAAAGCAGATGTGTTTTTGTAAAACCCTATGAATGTGGCAGACCTACCTACAGGTGGAAGAAAAAGAACACCCCTTGTTTTGTAATAAGGGGATTTTCAATTTAAAAGCGAGAGAGGGCCTGTTGTGTGAAGTCTGGTTATTACATTCAATGTATTCTGTCTCGCTCACTAGGAGGCTAATAATGAAGGAGTCAGTAAAAGAGCCAGTGCCATGAGAGTTATCTCATGGCCCCAGATGCTGGATAAGTTGAAGAAGGCAGAAATCACTTCTGGATGACATTCAGGTCTGAATGATGATTTGAAGAAGAAAAGACTATTATTTCCAAGGTAAACAGGCTGTTTCATCCATCAGCAGTATATAATGGTCTAAAATATGTTTACATGCAGGCTTAGAAAGTTCATTTTATCACATTTTTTTCCCCTCTCTGACAGCTTCAGCAATATATTCCTGAAACAAAAGATCCACTTCAGACTCTGCCACACCTAAAAAGAAGCTTTGGGGAAATTGCCAGGCTCAAGTATGATGAGAGAATTACCTACAAAGCAGAAAATGAAAAAGGGCACATGGATACTGTGGATACTTCTGTAAAGTGCCAAAGATCTCGTACCGATATGTCTCACAAGGTGAATATTCTTAGAGTTACTTATGACATTGAAATCCAACAATAGCTTTCTCTTTTAGGAGCAAAGAATTTAAGCATATTTACACCAGCATATTTCTAGACTAAAAAGCTGTCAGAACATTTGTCACTGTGTTGACAGGGAGATGTCATCCTAATGCTGTTTTATGGCAACTAATTTAATATATGCAAATGTGCACAAGTAGCCCTCAGAAGGCTCTCAGAGTGAGAGACCAAATAAATGTGTGTGCCTATATGAATGTGTGTATGTGTCTTTGTACACGTCTTTGCTTCTTTGTGGTAATGTTTGTGTCATTTACAGACTACATTTTCAAAAGGAGGCTTAGAGTTATATTGTAGTTTCAGGTTTCCCTAAAGCAAGTAAAATATACAAATGCATATAAGCTGAGCTTCACGACTGAATTTTAATCTTTAATACGCATGTAGTAAGGACATGTAAATGACATACCTAGCAATATATTAAATCAGTTTTCAGTGAAGCCAGAAAATTTCACTGATTTCCCACCCCCCCACCCCCCAAATGCTTTATTTTTGTCCACATAATCAGAGCAAGCTTTTTGACATCCTATTTGGAAGATAGTATTTTTATTTTTTGTGAAATATGCAGCTTATTCCTCCTTAATAAATCAATGAATAAAGCTGCTTTTTATTATTAGTGTCCTATAGGTCTTTATGTCTTCCTTTTCATTTTCAGCCTGCAGTTGAGAGAAATAATTTCCTTCCTAGCCTTATAAAAGACTGACATTGCTGTGTAAAAGTATTGAAATGAAACTTTAACCAAGGGCTATATTTCTCAAATCGACCCCAAGAATAAAACAATTGAATTGGCTAAAATCCAATTTTTGGATGGGAATTTTGTTTGGCTGAACTGAAGTACAAAACCCACAAAAGTTATCTCTTTTCCTTCTCTTGCCAAAGTTAAAAAAATTTTTTCTTGAATCTTATCTAAGCCATGTAATATCACCATGCCAACCTAGGATTAATCTTTAGAAGAAGGCCCAAGCTGGAATGAGAACACTGAGCAATTCTCTGCTGATTTCCATGAAAATGTTTAAAATGAGCTTAAGTCTCTTTATTGATGATCGTGAATTTCGAAATAGAAATTAGATTTAGATTTGTTTCCTGACATTTTTTATGAATCTTATGACATTGTATTATAAAATATGATTTATAATTTTTAAAAATAGTACGACTAATATAGATCTAACAGTGGATTAACTTCCATAAACTACATAAGGTGCTAAAATGAAATAAAAACAATATTTTAGAACATTAAAAGAACAAACATAATATAACCCAATATTATAAATAATGGGCTTATCAGGAATAAATGTTCCTCATCCACCTCCTGCCCACCTAGTAGTTTGGAAAGCATGCAAATGTAACTAGATCAGTGCTGTCAAACTCACGGCCTGTGGGCTGGATGCCTCACATGCTGACAACGCCCCCACCCGGTTTAGCAAAGTTGGAGGAAGTCCTGATATGTCACGTGACGCTGCTATGACAATGCAAGTTTGAACTAGATGAATAAGTACCATTTTGGTGGAAAGGTAACAGTGTTTCATGTGCCTTAGGGTATAGTCAGACTGGCCACATGACCATAGAAGCATCTTCAGACAACCCTGTCTACTTTAGCTAAGAAGCAGAGCTGAGTACTGCTCCTTAGAGTAAGACATGACTAGATGAGGGAAACCTTTACCTTTATTAAGCTTTATCCTATAAAACAAGGATGAAAGAATTATGGGATTTCCCTTGTGTAATTATACAGTAGTTCCTTATATCTAATGCCATTGCTCTGCTGTATTAGTAATTCAGCAGTTGCTAAAGAGCCTCTGGTTTTAAAACATCATAGAATTGTAAAACAGTAGGATTTTGGAGAGGAAAATAGCAGGCACCTTGGAGAGCATCTAGCATTTAGTGCAGTAAGTTTGTAGTTTATTGTTAGCATCACAAACAAAATAAAAACATATATAAAAAGATGAAGTGTTTGTCCATATTTAAAACATATTGAACATTTTTGGGAGTGCATTAATCTGGACCTAATCAGTGACTATTTGTCCTGCCAAAATGCAGTTGAATGAAAATGAAATAAGGTTTCATATGCAGTCTTTAAATCATTTGCATGTTTTATGCATGATAATTTAATTTATTTATGCACTACCTTTCATTTATGAATTTCCTGTTCTCACTTGTATTAACCATATTGTCCTAGAAAAGAAATAGATTTGATAGGCAGCCAGAGAAGGGTAAGAAAACAATAAAATGGAGTAGATTTTCCATTGTAATTATTAACAACAATTAACAAGATAATTATTTTGCTAAGGTTAGTATCAGTTATTTAAAGTAGTACAGACTCTTTGAAGCATTTTAGATATTCTTTAGCACATGCTGTATAGAAAGATAGAAAGAAAATTATTTCCAAAAATATTGAATGTAAGACCTTTTCTTTTCAATGAACCTAGAGACCTATGTCATTGGCCTATTAGCAGGAAAAACACATAGTATTTGATTATTTGAAGTACTTTATTTCAGAATTTATGAATTCATAGCTTGATTTTGGAAACAACAGCTTTATTTCTTCAGCAGGATACGTAGGTGCTAGAATTTTCATGGATTTGGATATAGATGAAGGTGCTATGTGGTGTGTTTGAAAGTAATATATTTTCATCTCAGCATTATCACCTCTGTGTAAATCAGAAGTGCTCTAGTTCAACTTTTTTTATTTCAAACGTGTGAAATTTGAGCCAGCAGGACCATTGGTTATACTGACTGGCAATTTGGAAGCCATAGACAAAAGACATCTAGAGAGTACCTCTTTGGGACTGTTGTCTGGGTAGCACTCTCTGACTCAAATGTTTGAGCTGTTTGCAGTGTCCATTTAAGGAAACTAAACAGGAAAGCGTTGAGGATGCTTACAAGCTTCCAAAGATACGTTTGTAGTTGTTTTGTCTTTTGTATGTCTGTTCTAGTGCTATTTTTTGTGGTGTCCTGTCTATTCAGTGAATTCAGTGGTTGTGTGTGGTGACTGTCTCCCTATCTGTTCAGTTAGCAATCTCTCTGAAGCTTAAATTGCTGTTAATTTGTGACAGGGCGTTTTTTAAACAACTGCAATATAGTTTTGAAATGTTGAATAATGTAGCATGAAATTCTCAGTTAGTTTGGAAATGATTGTGAAATCATGTGAAGAAAATCAGTATGGCATCTGATCAAGATAAATTCACTCTAGTGTTTTATGGCTTTTTATTCCTATGTGATAGTAATAAAGTCTCATGTAGGGATGGAAGCCATGAAATACATTGTGAAAAATCATCAACTAAGATGAGCCATCAGAATAGAATCGTTATAGGACTAGAGCTGCTAACAATTATTGGAAAATGGAGTATTTGTTTTGTTGCCTTTTATGTTTGCCCTGTTTCTTCATTGCTTCATTCTTAGAGTTGGAAAGAAAGGGAAATAGTTTGTAATAATATAATTCATTTTAAGTCAGCATCAATGCTTCATATTTTAACATTTAATTTTGGTTATTAAAATGAACACTGTGCATGAAACATTGACTTACGTATATTGATCAAATAAGCCATTAATGGTATTTATCAGGTCCAGGTTTCTTTACTCCCATACTCCGGAAATGATCCTGAACTGAAGCAACAATTCCAGCATGGTGTATTGACATGATTTTTCCCCTAAATTCATACTCTATTCTTTCTGGCATTATATGTATTCTTGGAAGCAGTGGTTTGGGAACAGTAGAACGCATAGGAACTAAAGCGCAGCCACTTCATTGTGTTTGCACTTCTTTGAATGCATGATTTGAATGACATTTGAAATAACCATTCCACAGTTTCTCCAGTATTGCTGAAATCATGCTTGGACAGATTATTAAAAGAGAATATCTTACATGTTCCTTATCATGTGCACAATATCATATGTGTGATATATGTGATTCTGTTTCTATGTACTAATACATTTGGATACAGTAATCTGTCTTGTGACAAGTAGAGAGCCCACCTCCCCAACTTTTTTTACATCTACTTCTTCATAGAAGCTATAGGACTGAATTTGAAAAGCACCTCCATCTCTATTACTCCCCGCAATTAAAAGACTCAACAATTTTATTTCCACATGTCTTTCCATAGTCAATTGTTTTGATGATGCATTATCCTGAATTGAAATATATTTTGTATTGCATAACACAAAACAATTTAGAATCAAATTTTGTAATTATTAACATAAAAACTAATATTTTTAAGAGGTACATATCATCCTGATTTCACCTATTCCTTAGTTAGGACATTTAAAATCGGAGCCTGTATATATTTACATTTGTATTCTTTATATATAACAGCATAGAATTGATGCAGTGTGCCGCTGTATTACAGAATCTTGGTACCTGTATGTGTGGGTATGTGTGTGATGATGATGATGATGATGATGATGATGGTGATGATGATAGTAATGAGGGTTATATACTTATTATATTGATAATCATAATGATAATAATATATTAATAATAATAACATCTGTGCTGATGATATTACCTAATTTGGGTAATGAAATATCTGCAAGAAAAAGAACCAAACTCAGAAAGCCCCAAGGACCCCTCATTTTAAGTCTGCGCTACAAATATTCTTCTTTATTAGATGATAGTAATCTTTTCCTAATGCAAATCCAATTCCTATGGTGCTAGTTCTCATAGAAAAGAAAGTATTCTGGGTATTCCTTATCATTTCTCTTTTGAATAAATGTTCTGTAGCTTTAGGATCATAATTTTCATTGGGAAAATGGCTTATTTTGTTATGAAGAAAGAATATTAGAGCCTAATTAAGTGCATCTCCCAACAATTTCCTTTTTAGTTTTAAATAAGTTTTGTTAAGGTGAATATATATTTAATGAAACAAACTTAATCAAATTAAATACATTATATTTTAAATGCAGTGATATGCACAGTTTATCTTGAATTAAACTAGAACAATTCCTTGTAGCAAAACATACAAACAATATACTGCTATATTCATGAGTGGGTATGAGAAATGAGGAAGAGGGACATAATTCACAATAATTGGAAAATTGTTTAGAAGTGTGGCTATAAGTCTTCTAGGACTAAAGTGAAGGCAAAAGTGACTTTGTAAGCAGTTGTCTCTATTCTAGTTATACAATAGTGAAAATTAAGCAGCCATTATCCTTTCTGTTTCGACAGCCAAAGCATGATTTAGTGGAATAGGAAGATTTTAGCATAGAGGAATGCAAGTATTTGCATAAAGAAATAATAGAAGCTTCTTCCTCTCAGCTTACTTGTGGATATTCTCAAGCTCTTTTTTGTTCTTCTTTTCTCTCTCTTTAATTTAGATCCATTGGCTCTCAACAAAACCTGAAAAGGAATTGCTCCAGTTAAGTGAACTAGATATCAAATTACAGATGAACTGTCTACCTCTGTCAGTATTAAGAGTTACGCTGCACAATATTCAAGGACACATCTTTACTTCACCAAGCTGTTGAAGCTGTTTAATTCATCTGAAGATAAAGATGCCATGCAACTTGTTTGCCATCAAAGTTATTTTTGGAACGTGTAACCGATAATTACTACCACAGATTGTTTGGTGGCCATCCGCTAATTTATTACTTTTTATAGTTGCATAGAATGATGGGAGGAACCAGGGGGGGCCTTGCCATCAGACTGATTGATCTGATTCTTTCAGATGTTGGTGAGGAAGGACGGCATGCTCCAAAACCAAGCTCATTTGTTTACCTGTTTATCGGTGCAGTCTGCCACTCCTTGCTAACCAGTTCCTCCCTCACTCTCTGCTATGATCAGTGTCTTCTAGAATGACAAACTAGGCAATGATATTCCTTTCATCTTCTCCAGGCTGAAATTCCTTGTTCTAAATATTTCTTCTCAATGAGGCATTGAGAGCCAACACATAAAGCAACACAGATGACTAGTTTCCACTGTGCCTTATTCTGAACACTTGGCAAATGTCTGCTTGATTTTACCCTGCCACAGCTAAGAACTATAGATTATTATATATTAATATGAATAATAGTATATTACTATTGTGTTTTAATATGCTCTTCTGAAATAAGAATCATTTTTCTTTTCTTCTCTTCACATTGTGTGGGTATAGAACAGAATTTGCAACTATGATATTTTATCAGGAGATACTCTCTGGAAGTACTCTAATGATGTGCATGCCTTCAAAAGGAAATTAGTTGAAGAGGCTTAAATTTCAATATTACATCATAACTTATCCTGAAGATAATTTGTTTAAACTACGTAAGTGTAATCCAGGAACACCAGTAAATGAAATACAGCAGTACGCTCTGAGAATAGCAGGAGTAACAGGGAACTATGCTTTATTGTTATTTGATATAACAGTGAATTACAATAATTTATGACCATGGAACTAGCTGTGCAATGACCTTGAAGGACTGAAAGAATACAGGGAATGTTCTTTTTGAAGAAATAAATACAAATGCAAAGCAATCAACCCTACCTATATTCAAGAAATGCAAGGATTTTTAATTTGGCCATGAGATAATATATTTTGAAAAAAAAAAATATGAAGAATGCCCAAATTACCACAATTACTATAAGCTGTTGTAAATGGATATTATAGCTATTGTTCCAATTAAGAAAACATATTTAATATGTACTACTTGTGATTGAAAAAAATGCATAATATTCAAAGCCAGATTTTAAAATTCAGATTATTTTTCAGTTTTCTAAATTCTCTAAAATACTGTCTTGTCCTCTTATTTATTTAATAAATGCAGCTATTGTTGACTTTTGAATTGTAAATTATTTTCTACCATTATCTTTAATTATGTAATAATATATAACTTTGAAATAAATATATTTTTATGAAATCCAATCAGTGTATTATTACAATAAATAATCCTTGTATTAAATACAGACAGTGTATTATTGTTAAGTTTAATTATATAAGCAGAACTTTGTGAGTTAGGCGATATCAAAGGTATCTGTAGAAAAGCATTCCTCTGACTTTCTCCTAACATCTCTCAGCCAGAAGATGATGAAGTGTAAAATGACTTACCTAGCCATTAATTTGACATTAATATTGTGTTCTGCATGTTACACAAGTTTGCCCTACTCAAGGGACTAGGATGATTTTATATTCTATCCGAATACATTTATTGAAATGTGTCTGTGTGATATAAAAAAAGGTTGCATATTCAATAAGCACGTGTAATATATTCCCTTTTATGCCTTCATAAACAGGTAGGAGACTGAGAAGAAAAATGCAACCAGCAGTGATGTCAGCAAAGTGCCAGGGCCGCTAAAGTCAGCTTTTCCAGTTTAAGCAATCATTGCAAGAGACGACAGTTAGGGCAAAAGCTGACGGGAGCAGCAGTAGAGGAAGAGGTGGTAGAGCAGTTGTTCCTTCAATCATACCCTTTGCCCTTCTGCACTGCCCTTCTATTATGTTCTCACTTCAGTCCTATTATTAAACATTCAAGTAGGTATTGTCACTTCTGTGAAGACCTTTATTCAAAAATCTGTAGTATATCTGATGCTTAAAATGAAAGTGGAACATCCAGTCAGAGATTGCTTACAGTTTGGGAGGGGGAGGGGGAAGAATTGAAGAAGAATATGAGGAAAAATGATGTAATATTCATTCATTCATTTATTTTGTAATTTACAAATAATAAGGTGGCGAAATATCCAACAAACCTTCCTCTTCCTATTTTCCCCACAACAATAACTCTGTGAGGTAGTTTGGGCTGAGAGAGAATGACTGACCAATACCATACAGTGGGCTTTCATGTATAGGCAGAATTTGAAATCATGGTTTCCTGTTTTCTAGCCCAACCCTAATCCTAATCCTCATCTTAACCACTAGCCAAACTGGCTTTATTTGTATAGTTGGAAAAAAATTGAGAAAACTTCTACATTGTTTTAGGAATTATATTAAAGATTTCCAGAAGAGTTATCAGCGTTTGTTTAGTTTGTCTTGAGATAAAAAGTCTTAATCTGACATTTGCTAATGACATGAAATAACTATTGCATGTGTCCTCTCAACTTGCTTTTCTTTTTTCTTTTTGTAAATTTTATTTGAGTTTTCACAAAGAGAAAAAAAAATACAAATAAAACATCTTTTTTGAAAGTAGCGTAATCCCGGGTTACATTTCTTCGTACAGACACAAATTCAGGTTCATGCTCATTTTTATATTCTATTCCATATCTTATTACTATTTTACATTTTCTGCATAGCTTCTCCCCTCTTTTAATTTTCTCAATTTTATTTTAATTATCTCAATTCAAATCATTGTATTTATATTTTTTGTCTGTCCTGTTTCAATTATCTATTATCTTTTCTCATTAAACAAAATTTCTCCTGTAGTTACTGATTGGAGTATGACGCCTTTATATCTTTTCACTAAAGTTGTAACATTCAATATAATACATAACTTCCATTCGGATTCTGCTTGGTACATTATTAAAATGCACACTGTATTCTTAAAAAAAGAAAAAAAATATAAATGTATAATATAATTAAAACAACATTCCATTCCAATTCAATTCTATCATTAATATTAATATTCATTAAAGTCTTAACATCTTTAACATTACTTTTCAATTAAATATCATACTTCTATGGGAACAATTATAAGCTTTCCATAGTTAATTCCCCCCCCCTTCACTTATATTTTATAAAACATTAACTAATTAAAATGTTCCCGTTCCTTCCTAATTCAATTTTCTCATTTATTTTATTTCATTTATTTTATTCACAAACATTTCACTAAATTACACTAACTATTTTATCCCTCATTTTTAATCATACGTTGTTTCCAATTTTCTAAAGTTATTTCTATTACTAATATAACAATACAATCTTATGAACCTTTACAGAATCCTTTTTCAGTTAGATTTTCACCCATTATCTCTAAATAGGTCCTGTTTCTCTATATCTTGCTCCAGTCCTTTGTAACTTCTTTTCCTTTCCTTCCCTCTCTTCTTCTCTCTCCCCCTTTTACCCCCTTGTCTCTCTACCTCTATTTCTCTCTTCTGTATTCCCTTTTTCTGTTGCTTTCCAGTATTATACTTATTTTTCAAATTATTTTTCTTTTCTTTGGTTGTTTTTTAAGTCTTAAATTATCCATTCTCTTTCCCCCCTTTCCTTTTTCTTCCCCACATAAAATTGCTTGTTCATTAAAGATGGCTTCTTCTTTGTCCCAGTCTTCTTGTTTTGCAGTCTTGTTGTTTCTCATAGTTCCAAATCTCCATTTCTAAGAATTGAAAAACGAAGCCAAAAGAACCCTTCCCTTCTTGTGCATCTTCTTTGTACTTTTTAAGTTCCATTTTCAATTCATTCAGAAGTGGTGCCATTGTATAAATTTTTAAACAACCACCCGATTGATTTTAGTCATTCAAATATAATAACCAAGAATCCAAAGATCACCAAATAATCCAAATACACGCAAGCTGTTTCTTTTTTGCTCTTTTTTTTCACTTTCTCTTCCTGGGGTTACTATTTAGTTGCAAAGTTTCAGTTAAAATGTATCTTTTAGAAGTCTTGTTGAAGTTTCACGGTAGATTCTTTTTAATTCCAGGCAGTCTCCTCCCTCTTCCAGATCCTGCCCTTATTCTTTTTCTCTCCCTTTCTGCTTATGAAAAAGAAAATTTTTAATCTTTATTATCCCTTTGGCATTTTGTTTTATTTTCAGCTTAATTGCCTATTGATGTCAAAGTGAATTTTTCCAATTTCTTATTTAAGTCTCTTAGTTGTCAGTATAGGGAAGGAGAGAGAAGAAAAAAAAAGCCAAACCTTTCCCTTTTCACTTTCCTTCGCTGCTTCCGACTCTTCTTTAGGAGTGATGTTATTTTTTGTAAGTTTAAATTCCAGGATACCTTAGTTGTTGCTTTTAGAATTTAACCCGGTCAGCCAAAACTTTCACTTCTTATCTTCCTCCTGCACATTCTTTTCCAGTTGAGTTCTCCTTTGTGGTGGCCATTTCTGACCACCGCTGCAACCGCCTTTGGAAAAGGGAGTAATGGCCAGCTGAGGAGGAGAGATGCGGCTCTTCTCAACCCTGCTGGCGGTCTCCCCCCTCTTCACCACCTCTACGGGGTGGCTTAGCCCCGAAACCGGCCAGCTCGGGGCACTCCAGTGGCGAGCCCAGACAGAAACTGCGCACGATCGCGGATTTCTGTCTTTCGCCGAAGCCCTTCAAACCAGAAGACCCTCAACTTGCTTTTCAAAGTATATGACTGAAAGTTGGAATAACAGTCTTTTCACTCATACTAGTTTGGATTGTGAAATAACTTTGATGTACATTTGAACTCTTGAACTTTGCTTTCTTCAAACTTTACAAATACTCCATCATCGGGTAGTAGAAAGATCACTTAAAAGACTGAAAGAAAGTGTTGGGGTTCAACAGATGGCAAAGACTCAATGCAATTCGACAGATTACTGTAAGATATTGTTTCTCATTGCTGCCAATCTGCTTCAAGAGATTCCACACAATAAGAAAACTGATTAAAGAAATGTCCTGTGCCAAGGAGCTGTCAAGCTATGAACTTACATACGTTGTGAATATGTAATATAACACTTCATTTTAACACTTTCTTGGAAATTAATTAATAAAGGAATCCTTATTAAGCACCTAGTTTGTATGGTTACATTTAATCCATTCCTCCTGTTATATTTAAATTACTATTTAGTGGTATTTTTAGAGAGATCCTGAGGACTGCAATCAAGGTGTTCAGGGACTTCACGCAACCTCAAATTCTATACCTCTACTATCCTATTGTGTAAAAAGTAGTGCGTAAGATTCCTGATTTGCCACTTTCAGATATAAGTATAGAAGGAAGTGTTTACAAGGTAGATAAATCATTTTTTCTCTCTCTTGAGCCAACTTTTTTTTGAATAGAATACAATAGAATAGAATACCTTTATTGTCATTGCATTCCATGAATACAATGAAATTTGAAAGCTCCTTTTTGATAGGAACTATGAAGCAAAAAACCACATCCCAGCAAGATTGGCAAAGCAACTATCATATATAAACGGGAAAAACTCCACACTCAGTAGTACTGATAATGTTACCTAGTTGGGTATTAAAATGTCTGCAAGCAAAAAACCAATGTCAGAGAGCACCAAGGACTCCATAATATCATAAAGTGACTAACAGAAGTAGGTCAAGTGTTGTCTTGGAGAAGGCTTATTAAGTGGATTATTTTCATTCCACCTTCCTGGAATTAGAGTTCAACATAAGTGCCTGGTCATCAAATCATTAGCAGTCATGATCTCCCGACTATTGCTGCTTAATAACAGAACAGCCTTTATAATAGGGCATTTGTCATCCACAATTTTGCCATGAATGGCAGAGTCAATCTGGAATGTATTAAAACACAGATGGGCATGGATGTGGGGTGAGAGTCCTCTCAGAAATGTCCTCACCAGGGCTTGAAGTACATGTGAGTTGTGGTCCAGAGCTAGTGTGTGGGAGTGGTCATTATCTTGGAAGCTCGTAATACTTCTAAAAATGCTTGATGAAAGACCTTGTTTGTGAAATTTAGCTCTATGGAACAGATGGGATTGCTGCTGTTTCCTTCTGTGTAACAGTTGAGTTGCTTAACTTTGTGATAGGGAAACTTCCCAGACTGAGTCATGGGAGATTTCAATCTGCCTTCTTGGTTCTAAAGTCTGAAGCAGCTTGGAAGTTCATTACTATCTTGGCAACACGACCTGATGACTGAGGACTTAATACAAAAGGAGTCACAGGTTGGGTGTGGGGTTTGTCTTGGAGAAAGGACAAGGTGATATGGGAATAAAGTATGTTATTTGTCCCTTGTCAAAGCTAGATCACTCTGAAATGTTC